GCCTCCTGATTCACTGATCCAAGGACCTGCCACCGGAGACCAACCTCTTCATTGTTTCATGGGGCTCCATTGGCAGGTTTGGGGAGCATTAGCTCTGCGCAAAGACCATTTGACTTTGCCTTCAAATGCAGAAATGGCCTTAGGAGCCAGAATGTCCGGGTTCATGGAAGCTAGGCCTAGATGTAAGGTGGCAGCCCCGGAGAAGACCCAGTGCATTTGGGCATGTGGAAGGCTTCAACCTTCCTAGAAGGTTGAGGAAGGATAGGTAGGAGAACTCGGTTTGTGGTGTGAAGGTCAGCCCTTTGGGGACACAAAATCAAAGCAGCACCGTGGTCAAAGCGAGTGGCTGAGGCCCCCAGAGATCAAGGCTCCTGGACTATTTACGGGATAAATTAGAGATATTTTAAACATGTTTTTTAAAGCCTATGTATAGATCCCTGCTAGAAAAAAAATAAAGAGAGAGAGTGCATTATCTTCAAGCCAAAGAGAAGAGACCACAGCCCCTTCTTTGCTGCCCCTCCATGCTGACACTGGAGGCCAGCCTGATACTCCTCGCAATACGTACGAACCCAGATTACATAGATTCTTTTCTTACCATTCCAGGGTCTTTTGCTCTGTTTTTGTCTTGTAAGATGGCTAAGGAAAAATATTCCATTACTGATAAAATAGACTTGTTCTTTTAGGTTTTAGCTTGTCGAATTGCAAAGAAAGAAAGACACAATCGTCAACATGGATAGAGTGATCACAAATCGTGAGAATAGGGACTCTGAAAATTCAGAGTTCATCCAGTTCAATTAGCTCAGAACTGCTGATGAGAAAAGTGAAATTCAAGAGGGAAAGTTGTCTTGGAAAAGGTCATACAACTAATTAGTGGGAAACAGAGGGTTGGAGCTAAGGAAATGTGACTCTGGACTCTTCGTTGCTGTCAAAGTATTTTTAGAGTCCATGAATTTACATTAGTGCTTTTATAAAAATAATTTTGCATTTTCATTTTTATAATAATTTCTTATACTTGGGTGCCCTGGATAATCACTCACTTCCGTAGTTTACCTATGATAAAGCCTTCCTTTGTGAGGAACATATCGGTACAGGGGAGCCAGATACAGACGCTTCATCCCACACCAATTAGGACTGCATTCACAGGGCATTAGTCCATGCCACAAGGGTTCTGTCTCTGTACATATTTGTTCAGAAACTGAAATGGAATGGAAAATTCTTTTCTACATGCCATCCCAGCAGTCATTTGATTTGATACTCAGCAATGAAGCTGTGATGCAAACTTTATCTTCAAGTTAACAACACTGTTTAGCTAAGTTGTAGCAAAATTGACATTTAAAGCAGCATCGTATTCCTGGACAGAATTTTAAATAACTAAAAAGTCTGAGTAACCACAGTGATCACCTGGCAAGCACTGAACACTCCATGTCCAGAATTTTGTTGTTCTCTATGTTAAAAGCAGACCCCTCAAAATGCTGAAACAATGCACATGGGAAACTTAACGCTTCCTACAAGCATATTCAATATTGAAGTTTTAGTTGATGAAGAAAAAACATAATATTTTGATAAATTTATCTTGTTTACCTTTTGCTAGCATCATGGCTTTTACATTTTAATCTGTGAAATGTTCTGTCTTATAAAAACATAGGTTGCTTTCCTCATTTATACGTGGCTTGGAACATTGAAATAAAACAATAGAATCCTATACTTGGAAACGGAGATGTTTCCTATATCCAAAATGTCTGGCCATCTCTGAGAAACACTGCTAACTGCATGCTTTCCTCCAACAATGGAGATGTTCTGTGACAAAATGAAAATGATTAGATCATTAGATCATTTCAGAAGCCCAGTTAACTGGTTCTAGCTCTGATCATAACTCTGTGTGTCCATTTTAAGTCATGGAACCTCCATGCTCCGTAGTCTTTCACTTGCAGGACTCACAAATCCCTAATGCCTATTGAAACAGGTAGAGTAAGTGAAATAGGCCAGGTGCTACTTTTTTCAATTTATTTATTTAGTTATTCACTTTACGTCTGGATTGAAGCCCCCTCCCTCCTTTCCTCCCAGTTCCTCCCCTCACTTCCTCTTCCCGCATTCCCCCTCCCCTCAAAAAAGGGGAATCCTCCCCAAACACACGCACACTAACCACCCCAGTTCATCAAGTCACATCAGGACTAACTAAGCACTTCCTCCTTACAGTATCCTGGCAAGTCAGCCCCACCAAGGGGAAGTGGTTGAAAAGCATGTGACAGAGACCATATCAGAGACAGTCCCTGCTCCCCACAAGAAAGACCAAGATGCACATTGAGTACATATGTATAGGGGGCATAGATCGAGTTCATGCATGGTTCTTGGTTGGTGCTTCAGTCTCTGTAAGGCCCCCCCGGGCCCAGATTAGCTGTTGGTCTTCTTGTGGAGCTCCTGTCTCTTCTGGATCCTTCTATCCTTCCAACCACTCTTCCACAAGGCTCCCTACCCTCTGCCCAATGTTTGGCTGTGTGTCTCTACATCTGTTTCAATCCACTGCTCAGCAGAACCTCTCAGAGGACAGTTATGCTTCGCTGCTGTTTGCAAGCATAGTAGAATGTTGTTAACAGTGTCAAGGGTTGATGCTCTCCTATCCGGTGGGTCTCAGGTTGGTCCAGGCATTGGTTGGACATTCCTTCAAGCTCTGCTCTATCTTTACCCCTGCATATCTTAGACCGGGTAAATTTTGGGTTAAAGTTTTTGTGGGTGGGTTGGGTTTCCCCTCCCTCCACTAGTAGTATTGTCTGGTTAGAGAGGGTCCTCTTCAGTCTCCATGACCCCCGCTACTAAGGGTCTCAACTAGAATCACCTCCATACCCTCCCAGGACCCTACCCTGTTGTAGGTCTTCAGCTTGTCACAGCGATGACCCTGCCCATGCTTTCTCTTCTCTCTGCAAGCCATCTCTCCTCCCACCCACCTTCTCCTCACATCTGGAACAAGTAGAGTAAGCAAACTAGGCCAGCTGCTTTCTAACAAACAGATTTGGTAACATTCACTAATTCGGGGAATATTTGTCCTGTATTCAAAATTATTGTATTTAAAATCCAACTTTTGTTTGGCACAACACACACACCCATGCGTGCACAGGCACACACGTATGCATACACAACACATACATACTACACACAAAAAAAATAAATATGCATGTGTCTGATTCCATCTGAAACCTGTCAGTTTGCAGTTTCTAGAGAAGATCCTTAAGAGCACTTTCCCAACTCTGAAGCATTGCCCTGAGAAGACACCAAAAGAAAGGAAGCATAATCATCTACAGCTCCTGTGCACGGCTGTGAGCGTGAAGGAAACTGTGCAAGAGGCTTGTGTATTCCAGCCCGTTTCTATGGATGGCAATGTGGCCCCTCTACAAGACAAAGGGAAGGAAGGGCCTGGGAGGTACATGGTTAGAATGGGGGTGAGAGAAACAAAGTGAATGAAAGGCCCATCACCGTTCCCGCTGTACCCAGCCAACGTTCTGTCTGGGTTGCATTGCCATTCAGTTACCTAGTGGGCCACTCCTGATCCAAGCCAGAGAGTTAGCCACCCTCAGGAGGGCACTGTGGGCCAGGCACTGTGCCCAGTGCTGGAGAGAGCTCTAAAATCACTTTCCCGTTTCTCCTCTCCTCAGAGATTGCTTTTGAGTGATTGTTCTTCGCTGATGTGTTTTAGCTTTCAGGGTGTTATTGAAAACTTCATTCTAATTACAAGTAGAATGTCAGATAAAGCATTTGGTATGTTTTGGGCTTTTATTTATTTATTTATTTATTTATTTATTTATTTATTTATTTACCATTAAAGGGAATTAGTGACATTACTTTGAATTGAATGTTGTATTAATCAATGAGGTTTCTGGTACCTGTTCTTGAATTTGGTAGGTGTATTCCAGAATTGTTACAAACTAATTTCTAACTCTCATAAGAATAGCATTTAGCACATACTTTGGGTCTAATCATCATCGTTAATGCTGTACACGAAAGTAAAAGCAAATGTCAGGCTTTGATTCATGTTTAAAATCTCTTAAGAGAGACATCTTTGAAAAACTTTAAATGCTGTTGTTATTATTATACTATTATTTCAAAACAGTTTAAAAACAAAACAATAAATGATAGCCGAGGAATGAAAAGAAATACGAACGCTTCCTCTTCCTGATAGGTCCCATCTTACTTATGATACATTGAGGACATTTGCTTTGGAATTGGATACTTCCTAACTTTCTCTTCATTTTTGGTATGGGTACATGAGTGGATGTTGAAGGACAGTTGGTGGGAGCTGGTCCCTCCTTCCCCTGTGTGGGTCCCAGAGTTGGAACTCACCTGGCCAAGCTTAGCAGTCAGCATCTTCACCAGCCTCCTGTTTGAAATGTTTTCTCTTTCTCCCTACCACCTTCCCCAGTCCCTCATGTTATTAGCCCTATAGTCACTGTATTATCTGCTTTCTCAACATCGATTGACATTTTTATGAAAAGAAAGCAGGGTTCTTTAACTCTGAGAGTGGTGCATGTGGCGTGTCTTGCCACACGATGCGCCCTTGGGAGGACACATTTGGATTTAGTGAATGTACTGCAAATACGATTTTCAAAATGTAAAACTTCGCCTCTCCACAGTAAATGTTCTATTTGCTATTCACTGACATTTATGAATTGGGAGAAGGGATCACCCATAATGGCAACAGTGGCATAGAAAGTCAGGCTTTTGGTAGTTTGCTTCAGCGTGCATTGGTCTGAGTAATTCTGCCAATTCGTGAATACAGTATCAGAGGATATAATAATTCAACTTCACCTAATTTTTTTTATTTATCAGGACATAAGCAATTAAAAGCTCTGTGGTAGCCAGGCCTGAATTTTGTGAAGAAAGTCAGTTGATATTTTTCCGCTGGCTCAGATGGTATTTCTATTGCTCTATTTATCTCAGGGCTTCAACAAACGCATGTCTGTTTGATGTGGTGAAAACTTCACTTGCTAATTCAGAACATTTGTTTCTAGGTGCCAGGTTGACCTGTCGTGCCTCAGTAGGGAGCAGACGCACAAGCTGGAGCTGCAGCTGGAAGAGGGTGAGGGCCACCTGGTTCTGCTTGTCACTCTGACAGCCTCGGCCACAGTCAGTATTTCTGACCTCTCTGTCAACTCCCTGGAGGACCAGAAGGAGCGGGAAGAGATATTAAAGAGATACGTACGTATGCAGTGATCTTCCCTCCAGATCCATGTGTGACTAGATGAGGTTGTAAACAGGGTACCCAGACTGACAGGTGGATTCCGGAGGAGGTGTTTGGGGGCAGGGCAGGAACATGCAGACGCCATGCAGCCCTGCAGGAGCCAGGATTTGCAATGCCTGTTGATGTCTACCGCTGGTCATCTCCAGAATCCATTTCAGAGCACACTCTGGATTCTAAGGTTCTACTTCGTGGTTTTTACCATGTCAAAACCTTCCCATAAAGGAAACTCAAATGTATACATCCTTTTAGTATTAATCATTGCCTCTGTGGAATTGCAAGAAACACTTGTCTTCCAAACCTAAAATGCGGTTGTTGGCATCTGAGAGGGTTGGAAACTGGAGAGTAGCTACAGAGTGATAGTTACTTCTCAGTGCTCCCAACAGCCTAACTTCATTGCCTCAGTTCAGAGAAGTCGCTGGGAAATGCAAAGGAAAGGAAGCCTCCGCCCTCCTGACAGAGTGGGGAATGTGAGGGTGGGCTAGAGGGCCAGGAAATAGTCACCCTTCTCAAATGTTATCTCCTTCCAAGAGTCAACCCAGTAACTTTCAGGGTGCATTTTCTACCATGTAGTTGTGTTGAATCAACAGAGAGGGGAGCTCTTGCTCCACCACTGTCTCTCAGAGGTGGCTTGGAAAAGTGAGTGCCTTGGTACCCATGAAGCTGGAGAGAGCTTTCCCACTTAAAATCACAGAGCTTGTATTGTACAGTGCTGCCAGGTGTTTAGAGGACTGCTCCCCTAGACACTCAGCCACGAAACCAAGCTCCGACTAACAAAGGATGGCTTTTAAAATATTCCTGTTTGCTGACTGACATCCTTTCAATAACGGAATTTAATAAAGATGTACCTTATCAGGCCGTGCAGATAGCATGAAGTGCCGCTACTAATGCTCTACAATGTTCTTCAAACAGATTAGCAGGGTGTGCGCCTCAGCAAATTTATTCTGGCTATCTCCACCCAATCAGCTGTCTGCTAATGCTTGTACAACTCACCCACCAATAGCGTTATCATAAACAGTTTAATAGAGGTGACTTAGCAAGGCTAAATAGTGTATATATTTAAACCACCTAGGAGCCGAAGTTATTGTGCAGTATCATCTAATATATAATTGCAATTATGAAAATTATTTCACATTTTGGTACTCCGCTAAAATACATTCTCTGGTTACTGGAAATGAGCCTTCTGAATTAAAACTACCATAAAGGAATTAATTGGTATATTAACATAAAAGTTCCTGTGGGCATTGGCACTCGGCAGTTATTGGATCAGTATTTTGATATTATCCCGTGTATGAAGACGATACTGCCATCTACATAATTAGACGTAATCTACCTATTATTGATTGATTTTTGTTGGTGGTGAATAGGTTTCCTTTTATCAGCTGTCTCCATTCAGAATGTGAATACTTTGTTTTCCATCTTTTCCAAAATACTACTTATTTCAATGAAATGTAAGATGTTTGGCATCGCAGCTAATTCTCAGGTTACATTCTGCCCAGATGCATTAAAAAGTAAATCATGTTTAACAAAGCTTCCTGTAACCCCAGATTTCAGGCACAGGTCTGCCTCTCCCTCTGGAGACACGCCTGCCGAGAAGCGGTAATGCAGAAGAGCGCATGCGTTACATTAGCGCTCGCTCGCTCGCTCGCTCGCTCGCTCACGGCACTACAGGGACAAAGAGCAATGTCCTGGCGGCTTTACAGTATTTCATACTTTATGTATTATGAAATGAATGGATTTTGTATGATGTCTAAAATATTCCTTGTTTTAATGAAACATATAGGAGATCACTTGTTCATCAAATTTTTTGTGTGTTTTTCTTTAAAAATGCATACGGTGTGT